CTTTATGTATGTCCAAAGTCCAAATTAAGGATATGGTTTGTTAAATCATACCGACACAGTGTTTCCTTGTCCAATATATATATAGAATATCTCTCTCGAATATTTCTTCACTTAGCAAACATACATATTCTGTTTGATATCGAGACCATTTCTTAAGATCAAAAATGTGGGAGCAAAACTCTTCCTTTAATATTTTTCAGTTACCATTTTCTAAAACATTTTTGTGGGATCACATCATCTAACCTAAACTGTGCTCTATTCCTGGAGATGGTTTGCTAATGGCATATTTTTTTTGTACTTGTCAGAATTTCTTAAATTCACCAATAAGCAAAAGATATTGTATATGAAAGCAAAACCAAACAGTGATTATCTTATCCAAACTAGATAAATATCTATTCAAGAAATTAAATAGCGCACTTTAATACTTCTATGTGTTATCAGAAATAACTTCTTTGTGACCTTAAATTAGATTAGATTTTAAACGGGTTGGGAACTTTGCACCACGTCACTGCGTCCTTTAATGATTATTGTGACAAACCCACTTTAGTTCCATAGACGAAGTAGCAGTTAAAAATGTCATTATGTCCTTTGGAGAGATGTTGCCTAATGCAGTTATGAGTAGATAGACAGTTGATAAGTACGGAACTCTGAGTCTGGCGAGACTGCACACTGACACAGTGTTGTTTCTTGTTCTTCGTAACAATGTCTCCAGTAATACCTATGTTCGATATATGTTTTTTTACTCCGCAATGTCCAGTGGAAAGCTCTGTAACAAGTCGAATGTATTTTCTATTCAGGAATAAAAGCTCCCTAGGTCTGGCTTTGTGACCTTCTTATGACCTTATTGAGCAGAACAAAATTGTCAGCTAACCAATTAAAATCAGTGTGATTACCATTATCACACAAGTCCCTTTATATCATTATTAATTTATGACTTTTGAGTACTCGAGCTGTAACTAATTTTTGACTATTATGATGATAATCATTTCAACAATAGTTTCTTCACACAAACTGTTCTTTTTAGCTTAGGGCAATCTCTTAAATCGTTCTATTTTCTAGTCATGACTTTTGTGTATTCTAGTTGTAACTAATTTTTGACTACTATGATGATAATCATTTCAACAGTAGTTTCTTAATACAAACTGTTCCCTTTAGCTTAGGGCAATCCCTCAAATCGTCCTATTTTCCAGTCACGCAATAGGGATGATAATACAAAACCTCCTTTAAGAAGCAATTTAAATAACTTAAAGCTTTTGCCTGACATTTTGAATGGTAATATTTTTAACTAATGCCAGTTCTATGGAAGTTGTAATGATACCGCCCCCTTACAACGACCACGTTTATTAGCTTAGAGCTATACCGTACGTTTTAAAATTTTTCCATTTTAAAATTTTTGTAATATATTCAAAAATTGAATAAAATTGAATTTAAAGTTTAAAAAACAAATTTAACCTTATATAAAATAATTAAGCTCTAATTAAGTTTTTCCTTCATTTTATATGATTTTAAGATGCTAATTGTTTATCTTGTTTTATTATTCACCGTTAACGTTTTTAGATCTCCTGTGACGCATAAAATGGCACCGTGGGTGCAGCGTCTTTTTATACAAATTCTGCCGAAACTGTTATGCATCGAACGACCAAAGAAGGACGATGGCAGCGAGGAAGAGCAGCCGCCTGAGGTGCTGACAGATGTTTTTCATCTGCCGCCTGACGTAGATAAATTTGTGAATTACGACACGAAACGTTTTAGCGGCGATTATGGAATACCGGGTGAGTTCTCGCAAACACCATTTTTTTCTCCTAATTTCAGAATCGTTTATTTATGAATCTGCTTAGAAACTTCATATAAAGCAATTTATTTTTATGCTAAAATTTTAATAAAAACTTTTCGATTTAACATTTTAATCAAGATTTGCATTAAAAGAGATTTCGTTTCAAATTCCTCAAAGCTATGTAAATTTGCAGTAATTTCTCTCAATGACTTTCCAGTGCTACACAATGAAGTATTGCAAAACTTTGTCAGTGCTGCCAACTTAATTCAACTAAAAGACTTGTTAAAATTTATGCTTACAAGCAAGTAGCAGTTCCAAAAGAAAAAAATTAAACTATATATAATGAAAATAAAAAATTTGAAAAATATAGCTAGTAGTGGAAGGAAAACTTTTACAAAAAAAACAAAAACAACAAAAAAATGTGAAAAAAATCTTAATTTACGGAGTTGCAAAGAAAGCAGGAAAGTCCAATAGGAACAACGAAGAATTATTAAAGTAGACGGATTTTTGATTTTGCAAAGTAGATAAAGCGTAGATGTGTAAAACGAGAAGAAAAAAATTTTCAAAATTTCAACTTTTAAATGGGCGTTTGGGTGTTTCCGAAGACGCTGCCAACATTTGACTTTAAATAACGGTGCAGCGAAACTCTTGAAAAGTTACTGGCATTCGAGTCTGCGTTCGTGCACAATTAAAGCACTAGAAAAGATAAAAGATGAATGAGTTTCTTCTGCAAATGTCTTAGTCCTTAGTCCTTTTTCTTTCTTTCTTGCAGTTAACTTTTGTTGCAATCAAAGTTATGCCCTAATGCAACTGATGCTGTGTTAAGTTGCTATTAACAAGTGTAATCTGAAGCGTCAGTATCTTGTTAAGTTGAGAGCTTTCCTTTTGAATTACGCAACACCGCCTGTGGAGATCAAAATAAAAATATTGGATTTGAAAAAAATTAACATAATTTTTTTTACACTTTACGCACTAATTAATCTTTAATGTTATAGTTTTTACAACAAAAATTTACATTTCATACACAAATAATTCAAAGTTACAAATTTTGAAAGCGTGAAATTATTAAACGGAAGTATTTAACTCATTCCTTAAAACTTCAAAATTAAAAATAACTTAAAAATTTAAATAATGTACAAAAATTTAAATAAAACAAAGATAATATGACTTACAAAATCAGTTCAGCTATTATTACACAATATATCTTCTTGCAAAATTTGTTCAGAACCATAAAAGAAATGTATCATAAGGAATGAATGTATTTGTATTATGCTTATAATAACATTGGCATATAGCAAAACAATCAGTTGAATTTTAGTATTAAAAAAAGTAAACATATATATATATACACATATATATTTATTTAATATATGCATATAAATTCATCTACTAGGTTCCATTATGTAGCGAAGAATCATAGATTTATACTTCAGAAACATCCTAAAATTATCCTAACCAGTAGAATTTTGGTATTGAAAAGGGTAAAAACGAGTATATAGATACATATATAAATAATAAATTCATATTTTAGGTTTTATTATGTAGCCAAGATTCATGTATCTATACTTCAGACATCCTAAAATGATTATAATTGTAAAAATGGTAAGACGTATATTTGAAACCACAATTATCTTATATGACATAATAGAAAGTCAGTTGCCGTCTATTATATCTCTAATACTTCCTTTTTAACTTCCCATATAGACGACAGAGCAATGTAGTCATCAATTATTTAAAGTAAATACCTTTAGGTTACTATAAAACCTACAATTTCCCAAGAAAAGGTTGTAAAATTCAATACAAATTCAAATTCAATTCAATATAACTGCGAGATAAAAATATCCATTCCTCATGGAACTTTTAATTTTAGTGGTAATCCGTGAAAGTCTTCGAAATTTAAAAATATCTTATATGAAGAGGTTATACATTCTCTTATAAAATATAAATATAATTTATTTCAGGGATATAAAGGATCCTTTTATAAAGAGAGCTTTAGTAAGCACCTTTCCATCGCTTTTCTTTAGAAAGTATAAACTAAAATAATAATCCGAATTATTTTATAAGAAAGCTTTAAAAAAATTGTTCTCTAAATTTAGCAAAAATGTTACTTAGCAGCTTCTATCTCAAGTTCCAAATAAATGTCTAATAGTACTGTTCGCTCATTTACTTCAAAAATATATTTAGCAGCATCATATACAGTAAAGGAACTCTTAATTTTTTATAACTAGCTAAATTTTTACCTTATTTAAGACATTAGCATGGCCCATTAGTATGTGGTGAACATTACATTCCAAACAGTTCATAGTGGAATTTTTTTTATTTTTGAACACTTGAACATTTACGCAGAAAAGATTTAGTTGTCTTTTTTTATTCTTCCTTGCCACGTATTCTGTAATTCTAGTTTAATTATTATGTTGAAGCTGTTTTGAGCTAGTGCACTTAAGAACTTTTACTCTTTCTTAACTCGAGGTATTTTCAAACCCCCTCTTTACACCTTGACTAGATTATTGTTTATCACTTCATAAGACTAAGCATTAATTGACCTCAGATCTGCATACCACACCGAGAAGCCTGTAACCATTTTGAGATTTGATAACGCGGTGTTGGTATGTCTGTCAGTTTTCGCAAATAATTTCAGGGCTCTGTCCTTTATGTATTTTTTGATGGGATCAAGCTTGATGTCCCTGAGGATGTCATTCATTCTAGTTAAAAGAAATACGTATTTTTACAATAAATACGTATTTATTGGTATTTATTGATCAATAAATAAGTTTCGCTGCATCCCCCCAACTCTACTCGGACAATTTTCTTTACAATAGATTGTGGTCATATTATTGATCATATTATTTTATATTTATTGTTTCCAGTATGAAGTTCCGCTAGTCCAAGAAAATGATTTAAGATATTCTTTTGGTTGTTTCTTAATAAAATCAGTATTTGTTCTTTATGACAAGAAATCTTTTACGAATAGAAGAGTTACTTTCTTTTGTAATGCCATTTTCAAATGCAATACAATTTTCTGATTTTTAATCAAGTCCATCAGTATGCTTTTGGAAAAATCTGTTGGTGGAACTGTCCGAATAGAAATCTTGAACTGCAAGTGTCAGGAATTAAACCGTCTTAGCTGTCAAAACTCTAGTAAAGCAGGAATTTCTCAACATTTGTTTTTAAAAGTTTGTCCGAAAAATGTTCTATTGCTCCAAAGCTCGTGTGCCATAACATTGAAAATTGAAAAAGAGTTGACGTAAAACTTTTTTCTTCTTCTTTTAGTTATTATAATCAAAATAATAATGAATAATCAATGCATAAATCACGTTTCATCCTTTTAGCTTTACCTGCGCATCGTTTTGATCTGGCCGCAGCAGGGGGCGTAGCGCCCTGCTTTGGTGATCCACCCCTGCCCTCAGCACTGCCACTACCTGGAGCAGACGATGACCTATTTAGTCCATCGGGCAATGGCGATTTAAGTCCAGGCTGTTGCCAAGCAGATCTAAGTCCCACATTTGATAAGCCGTATATGCGCGAAATGGAGAAGACAATAGAAGGATCAAGATTTATAGCGCAACATGTGAAAAATAAAGATAAATTTGAAAGTGTAAGTATTTTATTTGAATTTGTATTAATACATTTTTATTTAGTAGAAAAAATATTGCACATATTTTCAAACTTTATTTATAAAAAAATCCAAAATTAACATGTTCGTTTGTTAACACTTTATTCAATACTATTATATTTATTTCACTTCGGATGCTTTAAATGATTGAATTTAGGTAAAATTTAGATTAATTTCATGTATTCAATCAAACAAAATTCAAAAAAAGCAAAAAAATAAATTAGAAAAACAAACTGATAAAAAAAATTCCTCAGGCATCGAAGACATTCATCATCTGTCAGTGCTGCCAACTACATTCTATTCTATTTTTTCCTCTGCAAATACACTTGATAACCCGCATTAACTGCTGGTGCATGGCCTGATTATGCCAACTCTTACATTTTCCAACATATTTTTAAGTAAGTGGTTGTGTACTTATATATGAGCATTTGGGTGCACTTATATATATACCCATATTAGTGCGGGCCTGTATGTATGTATGTAAAATTGGTTCTAATCAAGGTGCAAAAATCAAAAAGTGCATTGTGGCATAAAAAATAAAAGTGAATTTATTGAACCAGCAAATGAAGATCAAAAGAGCGTAAAACTGTATGGTTCCAAGTGGTTCAAATTGTGAGTTCCCATATCAATGTCATAAAGCTACGGTATAATGAGGCTCATCAACCTTTTTCCTGCTTCCAATCGATGACAGCAAAAAATATTTTGGAAAATCTACTGATTGTATGCTGCCACTTTTTTCTCCTTCTTTGGTTTTTACTTTAATGCAAATAAAGTTAATTTTTGATATTCACATTAATTTGCAAATGTTAAGTGGCAGCTCTTGAAATATTTTTAGTTCATAATTTAGAGATTGATTTTAAATCCTCTTAAAATACAAGTAGTTTAGTTGTATGAGCGCATGAATATGTCCTTCGACTGCTTCAGGAGTAAAGGTTTCTAGTTCATTACTATCAATAATGATTAAATTTGTCAAGTAATCTACAAATACTCATTTTCATTTTGTTTTTTCATTTAAATTAATTAATTTTTAGTATTTATAATTATTATATTTCAAATTGTACACTATACAACAAAAAACATGTGTCAAAAAAATCATTGGACATATTTAAGAAGTGATGCCAATTTGTTTTAACCAGACTTAATGCTGTTTTTTACAACTCTGAAAGAAAAAAAATACGGCTTTATAACATGTATTGTAAATTTATTATCCACATAACATATGTGTGTGTATAAATATATTTGTGGATTTTTTTTAATATTTTGTGGGTAGGAAACGCAAAAACCAGGTTACATTTTACAGTGAAATTTGTAAAACGGTTGTTCTTGTTATTCCTTCTACTCGCTGTTATTTAAGCAAAATAATACGAAGAACTTCGTCAGTATGTGGCGTCAAAATGTTATATGTTCTCTGTATAGAATCTCCTGTTTTTGTTATTTTTATTTCTTCTTTCTTTCTCCTTAACAAAAATTACAATAAAAAACTTGATTTTTACGTCTATGTGCATGATCGTTAGTGTTATTGTTATTGGTAGCGTTATTGATAGGCGTTGGAGTCAATGGAACCCATTTTTTAATTCAATTTTTTACAATGAATAATCTTCTGCAAAAGTTGAATAAATTTCCGTGTTAATTTTTTAGGCGTCTTTAAATAGTAGAGTATTTAGAAAAACAAACAATCGTTAAATAAATCTCAGCAACTCAAATTTTAGATCAAATTAACTGGATAATGAAAATTGAATTTACATTATTTACTAAAGTATATATAATATATTTTATTATCTGAAAGAATTACTTTAGTAAATATCGTGGAAAATATTCATTTATATTAATGTATTATACATATATATATTGGAATCAGTGACGACTGCTCTAAGGTGCGGAGGTGTGCGGTGAACACCCTAACATAATTTGCAAAATGTCAAATAACATAGGTATAGGAATTTATTAAGTATCTTTACATCAACAATTATTATTATTTATTACATTTCCATATATATATTTTTAAAGTTTTAGCAAAAACAATTAAATATAATTGTCTATGAAAACTCAATCAATTTGCTTCTGTTAGCTGCTATACTTGTTAGTTGTGCTCATATATTTGCAGCTCAAATCACAGAACATTTCTATTTTATTTCGTCTCTCCCCTTTGTGGGCAAAGAAGTTGGTCGCACATTCATACGTTGCATATGAACAAAATTATGTGCGTGTGCTCTCGTTCGTAATATCAAAAATAGAGATTTATATAGTGGGTATTGTATGAGAGTAATTTTCTGTTCTACTCGAATATCAACTGCACACATACGAATCCAACATGATGATTTGCCAAAGTGGTTGCATGAGCGGCTAAAGTTTGCAGCTCATCTCACCATACATTTCTATCACATTTCGTCTCTCCCCTTTTAACAGTAGCACCCACGAATTTCTGTTCTTACTGTGCGCAGTACTTGTGCGCACATTTATACGTTGCAAGTGGGTTTGATTTTGTTTGATCACTGCATAAACATGTATGGTTCTAAATACAAACTCTTTTGTTTGAAAAAAGTTGGTTTGATGTTAAAAGACATAAGTGAAAAGTTGTATTTATTCCATATTGATATAATATTAAACTTATATATAAATTATTAATTTAATTTGTTTAATATGTTATTTTGTTAATGAATTATTAAATGTTGTATTGGGAATATATTGTTGCCTAATATAATATAGTTATTATTAATAAAACATCTTATATATTTCAATTTATCTTTTTTAATTTAAGTGGTACATGTAAAAATAACATTGTAGAAGGGCCGCACACCCTTCCAGATAGGGCACGCGTCGTCACTGATTGGAATATATGTGAGATGAAACAAACTTAAAGTAAAATTTTGTTTCCATGGTTTGGTTAAAATAGCAAGGTTTGAATATATGAATATTTCCCGAATACTTCCACTAAATATTATTCTTGTACTGGAAAAAGGACTAGAAGAGGGTATATCTTAACAAAAAATTTCTTTTAGCAAAAAAATTACAAAACTATGCCAAAAGCAGTAAACACAATATTTACTGGAAGCTCTGTTATCTTGGAGGCGAAACTTATTGAAGCAAGACTTATTGAAGCAAGACTCATCCACTGAAAAAACACGTCTCTGATTATTAAAGCCTAAAGCAACTAAATGAAAATTGATGGTTAAGTAAGAACAACTTTATAATCTGCTCTCTATGCAACTTAAATTAAGTACAAAATATTAATTTAAAGTAAATTGATTTCAATTTTATACTCTAACAAATTATATATTTTTTACATACATTTTTTATTAACCGTCAATAATGCAATATATACATTCAGTACATTTTTAAAATAAATAATTAAAAATAAAAAAGTATTACAATAATCATGAAAAGCATCCTCCATATTGGGATAACAGGGTATTGTTATATTGAAGAAAGGACAGAGCGTAAAGAATCACTGTTATTATGAAATCGAATACGAATTCTCGATTAAAATTTAGATTATCAAGTAGCGTAAGCGAGTAGTTGGAATCAATTAAACAACCTAATGAATAATGTTGAACCTAAAATTGTAAATTTTGATAATTAGATGAATTAAATATAAAATTATTTATATATCGCTTTACCATATATTGACATTCAACAAACGATTTTGTTTTATCGGAATACTTTTCCAGTTTTGTGAATATTATGTAAATCAAATCCTTTGTGTATTTACGTGCTTCTTCAAATTGAACGTTTTGACTAGTAATAATGAACATATTTATGCCATAATTAACTACAAACGGTATATAGCTGAAAAACGTTTTTATTATGTTCAGATAATCGTGAGCGTATATTAGACAGTATAAACCCAAATAAGTATTGAAAATATAACTAACTACATGCGAAAACATAATCCAGTTAAACCAATTCACATTTTCCAGAAACATTCTCTGACATTTCTCTAGGTGCTCAGTCAAACGTATAATAGTTCTCAGTTCCTGGTGACAATGTTTGATATTCCTTGAAGACTCCACATCCTTTAAGATAAGCTGTGCATAACGTGAAATATTTCTCTGCTGTGTTATCAGAACAATGTGATACATTTGAATCGTTTTAAAAACTATTTCAAATAAAAACTTATACCAAATGGCCACATACATTATGTATAGATAATATGATATACATTCTGCAAATAGAAAGACTTGCTTCATATTGAGCAGAACTATCATACCGAAGTCTTCATATTTTATTTCGAAATTGATTTTTTTATGTAGAATTTCGTTTGACTTTATTAATTGGTTACAAATATATATGACAATTTTCATTTGTTCTGTGGAATGAAATTTATAATAAAATATGAGAAGTGATATAGATCGTTGCACCACTATAATAAATTGTAGAGTTTTGTATTGTAGTTTGACATTATCACAAAAGTCACTATCTAGATAGCAATTATAAAATATAGTGAAGGAAAATTCGTCATGTGTGAATTGTATAAAAAGGCAAAAGATTTTTATTAAATTAGTTAAGCACTTATAGTAATAATTGTAGTGTCCTTCCTCCAATCTGTTAAGTCTTGTGTTATATTTGTAGTTTTTGAAACCGAACATTTTAAATATAATTATCATGCGCCTGCCAAAAACAAATAAGAAATGTATTTTCTTGGGATTATTACGAGTTGATTTTGGAACTGAAATCAAATTACCCACATAATTTAGTTAAACTCAATATGTTACACACTAATATTTTTTTGTCATTCTGTAAATGTAAGTACATAATTAGCTATTGTGGGAAAATTAATTTTTATGTACACTTTTTATTAAACGTATTAAGGTCAACAAACACTTCAGTAATTAAGTAATTAACATAATTTATATTAAAGAGTTATCTTTGCAGTATAGAATTACATTAAATAATTTGAAACGTAATTTACAAATTCAATATTTCTAACTCGTACAGATAGAAGCTTTTGTTAGTTTACTAAATAAAATTTAAATTTATTAA